TGTGATATATAACAATGATCACAAATTAACTCTTAATAATCCAAGATTGATAATTCAATTGCTTTGTGTTATAATAGATAATATGAAGTAAATTTGTTTGTGCATGCAAGGGGGCAGGTGGGGTGGTGGGTGGAAAACGGGATATTGATGAAAGGAAGGTGACACTAGTAGTGGGACTGGTGATGGTTGGAACTTTTCTTGCCTGAAAAAATTGTATTATGAACAACTTAGAAATTCACTGTTTTATAATAAGAATATTATTAACAATTATTTGATACATCATGATTTACAATAGTTACTAATTCTGTTCATACATACTACATTCCAACACCACATCTGCAGAGTTCTACTTCCCTCTACCACTGTCTCATTGTATGATTTTGAATTTAAATCTCTAAAGTCATTCAAAGTATTAGACACTCTTTTTTTTTACTTTTTTTTCAAAGTATTAGACACTCTTATACAACAAATCCCTTACTATTATCATCTGCTTATAAAAACAGGTTTGTTACTCAAACCTACATCACATCCCAAAAAAAAAAAATTAAAAAGCAAAGTCTATGGGAAAATGATCAGAGACGATATCAAAGCAAGTGAACATGTTCAATTGCACTTTATTTCATCAAAAATAATCTACTGCTTGCATTTATTAGTAAATTACTCAATTTGGATCCAAATTACTTTAAGTCTAATATTCTGTGTAACAGAGATAATATTGGGTATGGGGCTTATGAACAATGAACAAATTAGAACGCTTCTACATTTATCTTTAAAACTATCTGTTTGTTAAGTAAACAGGAAAAGTGCAGTGATAACCCTTTTATAAATAAATATGATGGGCCTGAAATTTTTTGTCATTTTCAGATACACATATGAGCTATTTACAAAACTGACTCATTTTACCATTTTTGATGAAGAAGGGCTGAATTATCAGGAAGTACTAAGGATATGTTCATTCTTGCTATGCAGAGTGTATTTTGTATGTTTTGCCATATAGAAGCACTTTGCTGCTTGAAGAAGTTGTAAGTTAATAAGTCTGAACAAACAAAGCTTCTAAAACTTAGAATAATCTTTGCAAACATACAACAGCTTCTGCATTTTTATCCTGTCATAAACTGTGATTCTTCCAGTTCTTCCCTCAAAGCAAATTTACAGATGAGCATGACTACCTCTGCATAAAGCCCCACATATCTTTCACACAAGGAGCCAACTTCACATAGTTTCAGGGATGATCCTTTGAAGGAGCCAGAAGAGTCTATTATAATATCCTCATGCATGACTGATGCCCATAAAATTTCCAGGCAACTCTCAGGACTACTGGGTGCAACCCACAAACATAAACACAAACAACTTGGGTGAGATTTAACAAACTGGGTTAAAGGGAAAGGTAAAGATAAAGGCCCTCCCGTTGTTCATCGATTTGCTCGAGCGGGCCCAGTAATGTCTCCATTGGAGACTTTGTTGTTACTGTGTCTGGCATATCGAATACGTCACGGGGAGCTTTCCAGGCTCTGCCATGTGGGCGAGATACTCTTGGTAGCTTGCCGGGCTCATCGAGAGGGGCGGAGGAATCGAACTCGGGTCGGCCATGTTGGCTGTGTGCAAGGCAAACGCCCTACTGCTGTGCTATCGCTCCAGCCCTCACAGAAATTTTCCACTCTACAATAGTTTCATTTAAGATGTCCATGCCAGGGGTTGGAGCTCTAGTACAGTGGGCAGGGTGTTTTCCTTGCACGTGGCCGACCCGGGTTCAATCCTCAGCATCCATATGGTCCCCAGTGTACTGCCAGGAGTAATTCCTGAGCACAAAACCAGGAGTAATCCCTATGCATCGACGGGTGTGACCCAAAAAGCCAAAAAAAAAAGTTTATGCAAGACACAGTGGGTATTTTATGGTCAGCTTCTCCAAATTATAATGCATACAGATTCTCTTTCATGCTCGTTGTCAGAAGTTTTTAAGACCATTTTTATTTACTCCAAACAATCTGAACAAAGTCACCACAGGCTCTTCACAATTTGCACATCAAGTGTTTCATGCTGTAAGTAAGTAGGCAGAGGGACTCAACAGGAAATACACCAGGACAACTAGCATTGGGGGGATCATTTATTGATTGAAGAAATTCTGGGTATCAGAATGTGCCATTTTATTATACAACTGCCCTTTATTCTATTACTATTATATCCTTTTTGTTTGTTTTGTTTTGTTTTGTTTGCTTTTTGGGTCACACCCAGCAATGCACAGGGGTTACTCCTGGCTCTGTATTCAGGAATTACTCCTGGCAGTGCTTGGGCGACCATATGGGATGCTGGTAATCGAACCCAGATTGGCTGCATGAAAGGCAAACAGCCCTACCTGCTGTGCTATCGCTCCAGCGCCCCCATTATATCCTTAAAATGTAGTAGGTACAGACTACAGAAATGATAAAGGAATGTTTCAGAAATGATAAAGAAGCTTTCTCAGCTTTAATAAACCTTTTATTTGCTACTGAAAATTTTATTTTCAAATGGTAACATATGCAAGAAGAATCACCACTTATAATGAGGGAAAACTTTAGTTAATTTGAATAGTTCTGTTCTTGGATGACCATTAAGGCATTAGAGTCATCAATTCTGATTGCTTTCATTTATTTGTTAATTTTTTTGATGAACCCAAATCAAAAGGTATCTATCTCAATACTACTACAAAGTTATTTTCTACTCGTATAACAAGATCTAGATAGTTCTGTATGTTTTACCTTTAACTGTGGCTCTGGTCTGGATAATAATAATTTCTATACATCTAGGGAACGTGCCCCAGCATGTCCCTGCTACTGCTCATGGCAGGTGATATAGTGTCACAGTTAGGACGAGTCTCTGTGGATTCACATTCCAGCACTGACCCGTCCTATCTGTGAGGCCTTTAGAAACTTCTCAGGCCACAGATTCATTAAGTCTATGAAAATGAAGGTGAATTGGACCTGCCTTATCGAGTAGGTAGAATATAAAAATGTGGGTAAGATATTTGAGTAGAGCATGGCACATGACATGTACCTAACAAATGTTCAGACTGAACATGTATTTGTTTTAGAGGGTCTCTCCAGAAGTACTCCAGTGAAACCTAGTCTGATTTAGGGAGTAGGGTCAGACAGTCCTCAAAATGCATGATGTGGAGAAGCTGAGGGATAGGAGGTGGGCAAGCAGCCACCAGGGGCTACCGCCAGCAGTCTTCTGGGACACCTGCTTGGGACCTGGGTCTCTTGCACATGACTTATGTGCTTCACCCCTTGAAGCTACCTTGGCATACCCCCTCTATGTTTTTCATATGTGAACATATCCACTTTTCACCATCTCTAAGCTAAACCTACAGGCCATTCATTCAACAGACATTTGTTGAAATATGCTTTATGCCAAACACAGTCCAAGGTAACAGGAGGTCACAAAGGTTAATACCTATTAGGACCCACTTTCTGGGAGATTATAATTTCAATGCATCAATTCCTGATGCCACCTAGAAAGAGTAGCAGGGAGCACCATCTCCCACCACAATGCAAGTTTTTCTCTTTGCCATGTGCTTGGAACTAATCACGCTTCAGAAAAATTTCACTTTGGTTTCTGAAATCTTAATCAGGCACAAAGTCATAAGCAGCTACAGTGTCCTCCAACCCCCATTTTAAAAATAGGTAATTAAATGGTTTCATCAGGTTCTAACTTAGCTCCAACTTGAAAAGCATCAAAGACATCCATGTCTGACACATTCATATTCCTGGACACAATGAACATTGCTTCAGAGAAAGGATGTCATTTCCATCCCATTCTGGCACAGGCCTGAATACATTTATCAGGGCATGAATGCAGACCCGATGAGAGAGAGGGTGGCCGGTAGCCTTCTCACTTCTCCCTTTCCCAAAAGTTCTGAAGATGACTTCCAACATGGCACTTTATAGGCCTTTAAGTTTTTCAACTATTCTGTGTGTGTGCCATTAGGCTCAGAAAATTCATTAAAAAGTAAAATCATTTAAATTCAACTATAAATCTGAAGCACGGCAACTAATGCGGCATTTCAGACATCACAAACTCCAAATGATCTTAAATATGTTGTCCTCTGCTAATCTGCTGTTCTTGAAAATGTGCAATAAATTCAATTAAAAAGGAAAGCAACTTCAAATTAGTTGCAAGATCAACTAGGGTATTATCTGCTTACTAGATGTATCATAATAAAAAACATCTAATATGCATTATATTGTTTAATTCAAAAGGAAATTGGATATTCTCCCTTCCAATAGAAACCTTTTGTTTTTGGGGTGGGGGGGCAAGGAGCTATAATGACTGTGTTAACTTTCGAGAATAGATTGAAAATTGCCAAAATATGTCACCCCACCAAAGCAAACACACAGGCACACAATTTCTTCTTTCTCTCCTTCCTCTCCAGGTGTCAGACCTTTCAAGGGCCCTATGATCTTTTTATGATTGGGCAGATAAAAATCCTGAATTAACGGATACCACTCACTAGAAACCTCCCTCAACAGCAAATCAACTTTCACCCCGCTAAGGAGCAGGCCCGCCGGTCAACATTTATCTCCCTCAGCCCTTAATCTGCACACAAACTGCATATTTCAGTGACTTCGATCTTTGCACTGGAACACACATGTTCCGCACCCCAGGATCCTCTTGATCCCAGATACCATCCCTGCCTAATGTATGCGTTTTTCACATGCGCTCCTTAATCCTTCTTACAGTGAACATTTTCAACTGGGGACGAACGGCGGTGAGAGAAGCGAGGAGGGGAAGGGAGGAGATAACGCAGCCTGGAATTTCTGCCATCCTTGCTGCAAACCCAGAATGCATATCCTTTGCTTCCTTGGCCCAGACCTCCCGCGAGCCCCGTCTCTCCCCCTTCCCTGGGTAGCCCGAGGGAGGAGGAGGAGGAGAAAGAGGAGGAGGAGGATGAAGGAGGAGGAGGAGGGGCCGCTGGCTCCCGCAGCCACCTGCAGCAGGGTGGGAAAGCACCAGTTGTCACTTACCCAGAGGGGTGAGAATGGCTCATTTTTGCAAGATCCCTTTTGGGCCCCGCGGCAGGTGCGGGGGGGTAGGGGGGGTGGGTGCGCGGGACCCCGAGCGCGATGGGAGCTGCGACTGTCGAGCTCGCGGGGCGGCTCCGCACTGCGGTCGCAGGGCACCTGGGCTGGGCCGCCGCCGCCCCACTGAGCCGGGTCTGCCCGCAGCCTCCTCGCCGCCACCCGCGGGCGGTATCCACAGCCTCCCGGTTGCTAAGGGAGGTAGGAGGGCAAGTGCGAGGCTCTGGGGAAGCGGGAGTGTCGCAGAAAGCGAGCCTGGGCTGGCTGACAGCTCGGCTCAGCTTTCCAGCCCCTTTGCTGGGCCTTGCTGTGGGAGGAGACCTAGGCGGGCCCCTCTGTCCCGTTGCTTTGGTGCTCGGTTTCCCCAGGCACCTATAATCTGAAAATACACACACACACACACACACACACACACACACACACACACACACACTCCTTTGGTGTGCTTGCTTCCTTCCCATTAGGCCTCTGGATTTGAGGGTGACGGGGAGAACTGGTTAGTGGTCAGGCTATAAGATGCAATAGACCCTCCAGTTGCATGGTCAAAGGCCAATGAAGAAGCCTTTCTCAAGCTGCTGGCAGTTTTTGATTTTGTTTCTGGCTCAGCAAGATATTGTGATGGGTTCATTTCCTCTAGGAAAATCCCTATGCTTGTGTTTCTTAGTTCAAGTCTCCAGGCCAGCAGGAGAGGCGGACAGTCTACAGTTCAGGTGGGAAAAATGAGGGTAGTCTGTAAAGCATTCAGGAACTGCATTGAGTGCTGAGTCAGTATCTAGAAACATAGGGCTTAGAAGAGGATGCCTGGAATTAAATGAGAAGGCCTTGGTGCACAGAATGTTAAAGCCCTGGGTTCAGAGGAGCTAGTGCCAGTTCTTGTTCTTTTGGATTTTGTTTGGTAATTTGATCTCTATCCTCACTTATCTCAGGAGTCAGTGCAGGGTTGCACACATACCATAGGTGACCAAATTCTCCTTAGACCTCTAGTCTAGCCCAGATGCAATGTACTCTTCAGTGGCTTTCTGCTGTTCCACATATCCTAAAGCAATCCCCCTCCCTCCTCCAGCTCCCCCCACCTGCCCCACCCCCAGGTTGAGAGTCCCCCTTCCCCCAGCCCTGGGTTGAGTTCAGTGTCTTTAACAAGACATTTAAAGATCATCATCTGGCCCCATAATCCTTTGCTGGCCTCACCTGACACCATTTTTTCTATCTTTGCTACCCTAGCAAAACTGTGGGAGATCATCAGCCTAACCCACCCCCCCCCCCCAAAAAAAAAGGCTGGGATAGTCCTGGGGCAAAACAGCTTAAGTCTTAGAATATCAAAGGGTGCCCAGGAAAAAACTGAGTGAAACAGTTTAGGGTCATCTCGATGTAGAAGGCAACAAAGGTGAAAAATAGAACAGAAACTGTCACAAGTATATACATTAAGCATGCCTGTTGATTGGCTACATGAAACATGCCAGTCTGCTATTAATGTGTCCATTGGCTTTTGATGTGCTCACTAACTGTTCTCAATGTCTCAGTCAACTTAAATTATAACGCACGTGTTGGAAACCAGAGTGGGATAGCAATATTGTTTTGAATAAATGGCCAGCCTGTGTACTCACTTATGGCTGCCCAGTGACCTAAAACCTTGGATAGTCCATGTGTCTGTTCATGTTCTTATATGTTTCTTTGTCTCATTCTCTGTGACCAATCCCTGCTGGATAAAGGTTGATGGTGCCAACTGATTGGCCTTTTAGATGAAAAACCAAATCGTGCACTTTCTTTTTTATTATTATTATTATTTTTTTATTAGTGAAGCACCATGAGGTACAGTTGTAGATTTACAAATCTTTGTGCTTGGGTTTCGGTCATACAATGATCCCTCCACCAGTGCCCATTTTCCACCACCATGGATCCCAGTATCCCTCCCACCCCCATACCCCCCAACCCACCCTGCCTCTGTGGCAGGGCATTCCCTTTTGTACTCTCTCTCCTTTTGGGTGTTGTGGTCTGCAAAAGAGGCATTGAGTGGCAAACATGTTCAGTCCATAGTCTACTTTCAACATGCATCTTCCCTCCTGGGAGGATCCTCCAAACACCCTTTATTTGGTGCTCCCTTCTCTATCTGAACTGTCCTTTCCCCTAGAATACCCGGCTGGCCTCTAAGCTATGGAGTAATCCTCCTGGTGTTGATCTCAGCTATTCTTGGGTATTAATCTCATATTTTGTTACTTTATATCCCCCAGATGAATGCAATCTTTCTATGTCTATCCCTCTCTTTCTGACTCATTTCGCTTAGCATGATACTTTCCATATTAAAAATTTGGAACGCTTCACGAATTTGCGTGTCATCCTTGCACAGGGGCCATGCTAATCTTCTCTGTATCGTTCCAATTTTAGTATATGTGCTGCCGAAGCAAGCACGCACTTTCTTTCTAATGGAAGCACATTTTCATTCTTCTCTCCCTGGAAAACTTCAGTTTACCCTCCAATAACTAGTTTGAGTGCTGTCTTTTTTGATGCTCCAAAGTGTTTAGGTAGTGTTCTACACTTTGGGAACAATTATGCCTGGCACACCCATTTTACACTTACTCCTTGTATGGTACTAGTGTACAGATTCCTTTCCTACTGAGATGTAGGCTCCTCAAATTCACATTGTACATCTACTTTGTTTTTCTGTATTCCTAGAAGAAAACAGTAGTGCAACAAGTGTTCAAATTGTAAATGAAAGAAAAGGAAAATTCTTTAAAGTGGCAGTGATGTCGGGGGGTCCCACGGGTGACTTGTGTGAAGTGGGGAGGAAAAAGACAGTCACTTTCTTCCCAACCGCCTCTGCCAGTCGGGACCCAGAGTTACTGGGTTCTTGTCTGGCCTCGCAGAAAGGAATTTCAGGAGTAGACAAACAGTGAAATCAATAGATTTTATTTGGAGGATTTTTAAGATGTGGAGGGGGAGAGAGTGAGAGAGAGTAACATACTCAAGAGAGAACGTGGGCTTCTCCAAGGGAGGAGAGAGCCTCTACACACATAGCAGCATTAGACGTGAAAGCATGGAAGTACACATCTCAAGAGGGGAGATGAGGGTGACATGTGCTCAGTTGCCACATGTGCTCGGTCACGTGGGCGCAAGCAGCACGGACTTGGGCTACTAATGTAGTGCTGGAGCATACGCACGCCCTTCCTTTGTTCAAGGTGGCCTTTATAGGTTTTCCCCAACCTGTACCCACATGGGCCCATTGCTAAGAAGGTTACTGGGGCGGGGCGGGGGGGGGGGGGGGCGGGGAAGGGGAAGGTGATGGTCTTCTTTGAAAGTCCTTTTCTGGCCTTTTGTTCCTGCAGGAGCTTCTCTGGGTCTGTTGCTGTAGATAGGTGAGGGTCTTATCAGGCCTTAGTTCCTGTTTTTCCTGTTTACTGCAGGGCTGGCTTTTGCCATTGCCTTGGGAGGAGGCCTTGCCTGTCTACCTGTCTACTGTAGCACTGTAGCACTGTCCTCCTGTTCATCGATTTGTTTGAGCAGTCCCAGTAACGTCGTTGTTACAGTGTTTGGCATATCGAATACGTCACAGGTAGCTTGCCAGGCTTTGCCGTGCAGACAAGGTACTCTTGGTAGCTTGCCGGGCTCTTCGAGAGGGGCGGGGGAATCAACCAGCAGCTGCACGCAAGGCAAACACCCTACCACTGTGCTATCGCTCCAGCACTACATTAGTAGCAATTTTATGAGTACCTGCTAAATGTTTTCCCCACTCTTTTATTGAGTACTTACTATGATCTCATTTAATCCTCATCTCTGCAAATTGGTATTTCTCCTCCTTTCATTGTTATCTGAATTAAAACACAAATAACCTAATTATTTTTCCTGAAATCTACAATAGTTTCAAAGTGGAAAGACTAGGATTAAAATTCAAGGCTCTTTGATTCCAAAGACCACAGTCATCCCATTGAGATAGGTCCCTAGTTTATTGGCTTATAACTTTAGAGTGGGAAATTAAGAATGTTTTAGAAACCCAATGGTTAGAACTACAAAGAAGCAGAAGTTGAAAAAGAAGGACCAAGTGAGGTGTAAAAGTGGCATCATATCCTTATACAAGGAAATCCTATTAAATCTAATCATCTAATCATTCTGTGGCTATAAACAGGACTTGAGTCAGCTCTTCCCCAATTTGCCTATTTTTACTGATTCCAGTGCCTACTTGAGGGTTTCCTTAATATTATTGAAACTAGATTTCATGTGGATAAAAATTGGGAGAGAAGGTGAAGGAACTAAAAAGAGTCATAATTTCTCCAACTGTTGCAATCCCTAAGACAGTGTAAATAATATAATCTTTCATAGTTACTAGTTTTTACATAGTAATTCATTTGTACAAATAGAATATGATATTCTCCCACAGATGGAATGAGAAAAAAATTTAAAATACACTATCTAGGCGCTTGGGATTCTGTAGAAAAGAATGCCTCGCACTCAGCAGACTGTGAGGTACCTTCAGCAGCGTGTATTAATTCATAAATGGGATTGGAGTTCTCCACCCTGTGAGCTACACAATTTCACATCCCCAATGAAAACTGCAAGGAAGCTACTAATTTTCACTTCAGAAAATGCTCACTGTGAAAATGTATTGGGAATTTAGCCAGAAGGAATTTTTATGTTAATTTTTAGTATGGAAATAGGGAAAGAAGAGGAAAAGGAGGGGAAAAAGAGACAGTAAATTAAACTGTTTCAGAGGTGAAATAGTCACTGGAGTCATTCTCATTTTCTCCCAGAAAAACAAGCTCCTGGATGTCCCTAGTAGTATCATACATTTATAAAAAATTATTTCTGTTTTGTAGAAAGACCTGTGGAGTTAGGGCTGGGAGCGAAAGTTGAGAGAAGTAGGATGAAAGAAAAGGATTATCCCGACTATATTAACTCTGTTTTTGCAGAACTAAAGGAGCTAGACGCAAGCATCAGATCAGAATTGTCATTCATCATCAACGAGGTCAGGGGTGGGCAATCTGCAGCTCCAGAGTCAAATCCAACCCATTGCCTATTTTTGCACATTCTATAAAGCTAAGAGTGGTTGTATTTGTAAATTACTGGGAAAAAATGTTAAAGAATAATATAATATGACACAAGCATGTTACATGTAATTCATGTTTCAATATCCACTGATAAAATGTTAGTGTGGTACAGCCATGTCCATTTGTTCATTAATTAGCTGCATTTGTACTTCAGTGGTAGAACTGAGTCCTGGCAACAGTGAGTAAATGGACAGCAAAATCTGAAACATTTACTCTTTGGCCTTTTTCAGAAAAAAAATTGTCAAGCCCTGTCTTAGATCATCATGAAGATCAAAGACATATTTTACCTCATGGACTCTGACCACATTTTTCACCCTTTTTGGCCATAACATATCATGGTGCTTTTTATAGAGAAT